TACTATTATCACAGCGCCTGACTCACAACTCCTACCCCCCCCCAACCGTGAGGGGGAACTGTGGGTGGTAGATGCACAGCTTTTTAAAAGTTGCCAAAGTTGAGAAACACTGATGTAGATCATTCTGACTTACTCAGTAAACCATGGCCAAGCAAACCAAGGTTTAGCATGATGTGCAAGCCCAGCTGTAGGAGGTCATCTGCTCTTACAACTGGCTGGGGAATCCTGGGAGTTGAAGTCCAGACATCTTAAAGTTGCCAAGGTTGAGAAACACTGATGTAGATCATTCTGACTTACTCAGTAAACCATGGCCAAGCAAACCAAGGTTTAGCATGATGTGCAAGCCCAGCTGTAGGAGGTCATCTGCTCTTACAACTGGCTGGGGAATCCTGGGAGTTGAAGTCCAGACATCTTAAAGTTGCCAAGGTTGAGAAACACTGATGTAGATCATTCTGACTTACTCAGTAAACCATGGCCAAGCAAACCAAGGTTTAGCATGATGTGCAAGCCCAGCTGTAGGAGGTCATCTGCTCTTACAACTGGCTGGGGAATCCTGGGAGTTGAAGTCCAGACATCTTAACGTTGCCAAGGTTGAGAAACACCGATATAGATCATTCTGACTTACTCAGTAAACCATGGCCAAGCAAACCATGGTTTAGCATGATGTGCAAGCCCAGCTGTAGGAGGTCATCTGCTCTTACAACATTCCTGGCTGTGCAGTCAGGAATTATAGGACACACTGTCCTTGGTTTACATGGTTAAATCCATGTTCTGCCTTTGCCCGGCAAATTAACCCATAAACTGCAAAACTGCAACACAATTGGCTAGTTTATGGTTCAGTGTGCATGTGGCCTGTGCATTTGTCAAATGAATAATAAATACAATAAGCACTTGAACTGCAGGAAGCACTAAATCAGTCCAACCTGATTCCTACGGTTTGCACTTATGCTTAACGTTCAGTCTGTTCACCTAGCAGGAGTGCTACACCAGCTCCCGCACCTAAAGAGACTGAGGCTACACACTGTACTATGAGGTTTTGTGCTACACTATTAATCCTCCCCCAAATGTGCAGCTTCCAGATGTGTTGGACTACAGCTTCCATCAGCCCCAGCAGCAAAGCGTTTGGGGTGAGCTGCCCTTATGTAGATGTAGATTGCAACAAGATTTCCTGGCTCCTTGATTGGGTCCACATATCCTACTAACCTGGGGCTTGGCAAACCATCATTTCCTGAATCAACCAGGATTGCCTTGGACTGGACTCCTGTACTATGCCAGGCCACGACCCACGTCCTATAAACCACGATGACTGGGTTGCAAAAGACCTCAGACGCGAAACAAACAAATCCCTTGTTGGCTTAGCAGGGAAGCGTGGAAGGGGCTGAGGGTGGGGAGGCGAAGCAGCAGCGGATGGCGGCTGCGTTTGCGCAATTTTTTAAGCAGGCGCGTGTGCAAAGGATGTCGGACCCCATCACATTTGTGCACGCGGCTGGGATTTTGCAAGGGAGTTTAGCTTCTTTTCATAGTTTTTAGGCGCGTCTCGGCTCGGAACGAAGAGAAATTGCGCAGCCGGGATCCAACATTCGCGGCCAGAAGGAACTCCGTGAGCAACGGGCAGAACTGAAGCCACTTCTAACCAAGGATATCCCAAACCACGGTTTACCGCAGATCCACATGGCCCGACAACCTGGCCGACAAACTCCATCTACCCGCAGCCGGGACGGGGCGGCTGACCTGGAGGGCCCCTCGGGGATGCGAGCAGCAGAAGAAAGCCCCCGGTGGTTGGGGGTCGACGCGGGGCCGGCGGCGGCGGCCTCTCCCTCGACTCCCATCTTCTGAGGCTCCCGCGGAAGGCCGGGCGCGGGGCCGAGGGTCACG